AAAATATGACAAAACCTTTGACAAAACTACAAAACATAACCACTAATAAACAAAACATAAACTCTGACAGAAATTGAACCTTTCACGTTAATGTGTTAGAAAAAGATAAAAATAATTTTTCCATTACAGAAAGACCTAAATGGGTCTTTCTATTTCTCTATGCCGACCGAACACCGAACGGGACTCGAGTACTGCCGAACTGGCATACAGAATAAGATTTTGTGACAATGGAAAGAAATTTCTTGCCTAGAAAGAATTTTCTATGTCTATGGCGTTACAGAATACGCACACAGGTAACTAACAATCATGATTTATTAATAAAAATTTTGATAAATATCGTTCATCAAAAAACCTGCCAACTCCTATACTATTACTAAAACGATGAAATTTCAATTTATTTTTTTTTTGTTGAGATTTTGTGTCCTAATGGTCCTTTGGGATCCCTTAAACTCCATACACTAGATTATTCTGAGATTTGGAGCCAGATTCTATGAAAAAAAGGCACTCAGAAAAATTGAAAAATTGATAAATCACCCCAAATTAGGTCTATAAACCTAGCAGTCCCAAGGTGGAGAAAAACTTCGGGAACTATATAATAATTAGGTGCTTTTTAGGTGCTAATTAGGGCCTCATGAGAAAATCAAAAAAAACTAAGGGATTGTTAGGTTTATGAAAGCAAGTAGTCCCCTATAGTAAAAAATATTTTTCCAAAATTTTCTTTTGTATCAGAATTAAATGCTTTTTAGGTGCTCCTAAATAGTCCAAGAAAAAATAGAATAGAAAGGGGACTGCTGGCTTTACGTTTACATGTTGGTGTGTCAGAATGGAAAAAAAAACTTCGGGATCTATATAATAATTAGGTGCTTTTTAGGTGCTAATTAGGGCCTCTTAGTAAAAATTAGGTGCTCCTCTAGTTTCTGAGAAATTCAAAAAAAACTCAGAGAATGCTAGGTTTATGTCTATAGTAAAAAATATTTTTCCAAAATTTTCTTTTTTTTCAGATTTAGGTCTTTTTAGGTGCTCCTAAATATTCGAAGAAAAAATAGAATTGATTACCTAATTATTAACTGAGTTACAGATTTTTTTTTAATTATTAGGGGATTGCTGACTTTACGTTTACTTGTTGGTGTGTCAGAATGGCAAAAAAACTTCGGGATCTATATAATAGTTGGGTGCTAATTAGGGCCTCTAATTAAAAATTAGGTGCACCTCTTGTTTTTGAGAAAATCAAAAAAAACTAAGGGATTGCTAGGCTTATGAAAGCTAGTAGTTCCCTATAGTGAAAAATATTTTTCCAAAAATTTCTTTTGTATCAGAATTAGGTGCTTTTTAGGCGCTCCTAAATAGCCGAAGAAAAAATAGGATTGATTAATTATTAACTGAGTTACAGATATTTTTTTAATTATTAGGGGACTGATGGCTTTACGTCTACTTGTTGGTGTGTCAGAATGGAAAAAAAAACTTCGGGATCTATATAATAATTAGGTGCTTTTTAGGTGCTAATTAGGGCCTCTAATTAAAAATTAGGTGCTCCTCTAGTTTTTGAGAAAGTCAAAAAAAACTAAGGGATTGTTAGGTCTATGAAAGCTAGTAGTCCCCTATAGTAAAAAATATTTTTCCAAAATTTTCTTTTGTATCAGAATTAGGTGCTTTGTAGGTGCTCCTAAATAGTCCAAGAAAAAATAGAATTGATTAATTATTAACCGAGTTACAGATTTTTTTTTAGTTATTAGGGGACTGCTGGCTTTACGTCTACTTGTTGGTGTGTCAGAATGGCAAAAAAACTTCGGGATCTATATAATAATTAGGTGCTTTTTAGGTAATAGATCCCGAATAAAAAAAAAACTAAGGAATTGCTAGGTTTATGAAAGTTAGTAGTCCCATATTAATAAAAAAAATCTCTAACTCAGTTAATAATTAACCGATTCAATTTTTTCTTCGACTATTTAGAAGCACCTAGAAAGCACCTAATTCTGATATAAAAGGAAAATTTGAAAAAATATTTTTTACAATAGGGGACTGCTAGTTTCCATTAACCTGGCAGTCTCTTTGTTCTTTTTTTTGATTACCTCAACAACTAAAGGAGCACCTAATTTTTAATTAGTAGCCCTAATTAGCAACCAAAAAGTACCTAATTATTATTATTTCTATTCTTATATAGACCCCGAAATTTTTTTCTATTCTGACACATCACCAAGTAAAAGTGAAGCCAACGATTTCCTAATAATGAAAAAATCTGTAACTCAGTTAATAATTAACTGATTCAAGTTTTTCTTCGACTATTTAGGAGCACTTAAATAGCACCTAATTCTGATTAAAAAAAAATTACAATAGGGGATTGCTAGCTTTCATAAGCCTAGCAATCTCTTAGCTTCTTTTGATTTTCTCAATAACTAGAGGAGCACCTAATTTTCAATTAGAGGCCCTAATTAGCACCTAAAAAGCACCTAATTATTATATAGATCCCGAAGTTTTTTTTCCAATCTGACACACCAACATGTAAACGTAAAGCCAGCAGTCCCCTAATAATTAAAAAAAAAATTGTAACTTAGTTAGTAATTAATCAATTCTATTTTTTCTTGGATTATTTAGGAGCACCTAAAAAGCACCTAATTCTGATACAATGAAAAAATTTGAAAAAGTATTTTTTACTATAAGGGACTGCTAGCTTTTATAAACCTAGCAGTCCTTAGTTTTTTTTTGATTTTCTCACAAACTAAAGGAGCACCTAATTTTTAATTAAGAGGCCCTAATTAGCACCTAAAAAGCACCTAATTATTATATAGTTCCCGAAGTTTTTTCCACTTTGGGACTGCTAGGTTTATAGACCTTCCCAAATTGCTTAACAGGATTTTATTTCTGGAACTATAAGTCCAAATTAATTGAAATTTTCAGGAATTGTAGTCCTCTACTGGGATAAGAATCGCTGGAAATTTCAGCTTTCTATCTTTAATAGAAAAAAAGTTATGACCTCATTGTTGTCAGAGATCTATATCATAAGGTACCTACTAAAAAACTAGTAAGTACCTACTAAAATGATGAAATTTCAAAAAAAAATTATGTTGATATTTTGTATTTAAATGATCAATGGGGACCCCTCAAACTCCATACACTAAATAATTTTAAGATTTGAATCCGAAATCTATGGAAAAAGGCATACAGAAAAATTGAATATTCGATAAATTTACCCCAAATTGCTTTACGCGATTCTATTTCTGAAACTATAAGTGAAAATAAGCTGAAAGTTTCAGGGATTGTAGATGCTCTTCTACTGGGGTAAGAATCGCTGAAAATATCAAAGCAGAAAGAAAGATGAGGATGATGATAAAATAAGCGGTGAAACAAGGAAACTGATAAAATAACGAAAAAAACGATAAAACATTACATACAACGAAATATCAATGATATACGCTGGATAAAGAATTTATAGGAACACTTGAGAAGATTCATCATTAACTTCTCAAGAAGACTGAGAAAAAAACATTGATAGAGAAAGTCGTATAGACTATGAGAAAGCATTTGATTCATGATATAAGCATCTTTTTCATAACATCTATAAAAAAAATTTATTAACAGCTAGAAGAAGGCATCAATCCCATTTCAATCAGAGGATTTCTTCAAAAAACTAACATGACATAAAAATAAACAACATCATGCTTATTTCTAACAGTTGAGTAATGCAAGAGAATTGGATAAAATTGACCTGCAAATGAATATGGGAAGAAATTCTCTGAATCACATATTGAATAGTAACCAAATTAATAGCTAGAAGAAGATTTATTTTAATAAGAATTAGATTCAAACAACAACAATTTTATAAAATCCTGTAACGTAGTTCTTTGTTTCTCCGGTCACGGTTGGTGTGCCACTTGCCAGCAAGAATGAGAATCTTGATAATGCTTCAAGATATTGTTACAAATGCTGATTATTTACACGCGGTTTTATGGGAAAAAAGAAACTCTTATAATGGGCTTGAGAGCGAGCCAAGAAATGCGATATTTAATAATTAATTTCTAGTTATATAGGAGAATGTTTTTCGCTATAATTAACCGAAAATGACGCAAATGCATATCAGCTCGTACATACACACCATAAAATATGTAACGACATTTAAATTGTATGAACATTTAGCATTTAATGGGTCTGTGAAAACGTGACGGAGCAAATGGATGTTTGGAATTGAAAAAATGAAGTAGGTACACGCGACTGTTTATTTATCACGTTTTCTATGGCCGGGATGGAAATAAATTGAGAAAATTAGATCGTGTATAAGTAATACGAAATAGATTCAAATATAAATTATACTTATTTGTAAAAGTTCTTCTTTACAAGGTATTTAGTTTTTTGAAAATTTTTCAAGGATTTTGTCTGAATTTTTATATTTTTTATATGTTTGTGTTAGTTTGGGTTAGTTTGGGCTAGTTTGGGTTAGTTTGGGTTAGTTTGGGTTAGTTTGGGTTAGTTTGGGTTAGTTTGGGTTAGTTTGGGTTAGTTTGGGTTAGTTTGGGTTAGTTTGGGTTAGTTTGGGTTAGTTTGGGTTAGTTTGGGTTAGTTTGGGTTAGTTTGGGTTAGTTTGGGTTAGTTTGGGTTAGTTTGGGTTAGTTTGGGTTAGTTTGGGTTAGCAGTGGCGTATCTACCGGTGTGCCATGTGTGCGAAGCACACAGGCCCGGGCCCGAGAGGGGCCCGTGAGCTCTATAGCGAAACTGCAAAAAAAAAAACGTAAAAAAATCGAGATTACACCAAGAAAAAAAAAGTAGTTACAGAAACTTCAACATACTGAAACAGGAGATCCTTCCAAGACCCAAAATGGGAATTCTAGGCTTCAAACATTTTTCGTATTTAAAAAATTTTCGGATAGAAAATGCGTCCCTGATGCAATTTTGACGCGTTGCTATGACAAAAGTGACAGAATCTCAGACAGAAGTGTCGTAACAATATGGCGGAAGTGGGATACGCTTTTTTCTCCTTATGTCGGTCGCCTCCTTATTATTCTACCTCAATGATTTTTCCTTAATTTTGCCTAAATAAGTCAATTTTCTTTGAATTTTTCCTGGAGTGATTTTTCACTGGAAAATTTCGAAATTTCCCTATAATGACTTTTCTCTTTATCCTGGAAAATTTTCAAAATTTAATTTAAATGTGAAAGGATGAATTTTGCTTAGAAAAGTCAATTTTCCAGAACTTTCCTATTGACTTTCCTTAGAGTGATTTTTCACTAGAAAATTTTGAAAATTTCCTATAATGGACTCCTCATTTTCTTCTTTCTTCTGGAAAAATTTCACAAGTTTTGCTTTATTAGTTTTCCAAAAATAAATTAAAATGTGAGAGGATGAGTTTTTCTTAATTTTACTTGAAAAAGTCATTTTTTCAGAATTTTTCCTGGAACGATTTTCCATTGGAAAATTTTGAAATTTTCTTATAATGAGGTCCTGACTTTCCTCTTTTTTCTCTTTTGCCAATTTTCCAGGAAACAATTGAAATGTGAGAGCATGAATTTTCCTTAATTTTACTTGAAAAAGTCATTTTCCAGAATTTTCCCTAGAGTGATTTCTCACTGAAAAATTTCGAAATTTTCCTATAATGAGCTCCTCACTTTCCTCTTTTTCTTGGAAAATTTTCAAAATTTTCCCTCTGCCAGTTTTCCAGAAAAACATTAAAATGTAAGAAGTGAATTTTCCTTAATTTTGCTTAAATAAGTCAATTTTCCAGAATTTTTTATGGAGTGATTTTTCATTTGAAAATTTTTGCAATAATTTCTATAATTTTCATAGTTTTTCGTAATGTCCATAATTCTCGTAATTTTTCGTTATTCACGTAATTTTTCATAATTTCCATTTTTCGTAAATTCTGTAATATTGAGAAAATTTCCGTAATTTACAAATAATTCCTGTAATTTTGAATAACTTTGAGTAATTCCTGCATTTTTGGAATAATTCCTGTAATTCCCCTATTTTTTTGTAATTTCAGAGTATTTTTTGAAATTTTGAATTATGTATATAATTCCTATAATTGATAATTTGAAAAATATAAGAATTGCAAAAATTTCGGAAAATTTTACGAAAATTACAAAAATTGAAATTAGCAGAAATTACAAAAATTTCAAAACTACAAAAAGTTACTAGATTTTTAAAAAATTATGAGAATTATAAAAATTAAAAGAATTAAAAAATTACGAAAATAATTTATTGAAGAATTACAAAAATTGAAAAATATTAGAAACTACGAAAAAATCAAAAAATTACCGAATTTGCGAAGATTCCTCAAAAAATTACGGAAATAACAAAAATTAGGAAAATTATAAAAATTCCATTAAAAAATTACGGAAAATACAGAAATTCGGAAAATATAGAATTAATAAAAATAAATTAAAAAATTATAGAAATTTCAAAAATTACAAGGATCGCGAAAAAATGAAAAAAATCGGAAAAATTGCAAAAATAACGGACATTTTTAAAAATCACGGAAAATACATTAATTATTAAAAAACTAAAAGGAAAATTAAAAAATTACAAAAAAATCGGTTATTACAAAAGCAATGAAAATACAAAAATTTGAAAAATACTGGAAATTCAAAAATTATGCAAAATTACAAAAATAATTGAAAAATTACATAAAATACGGAAACTACAAAAAAATTACAAAAATCATTAAAATTCCAAATATCATGAAAATTTGAAAAACTTGCAGCACTTACAATTATTGAAAAATTAAAATGAGAATTGCAAAATTACGAAAAAAATCGGGAATGGAAATACTTATGTAATGTAAATTATTTTAAAAAATTACGGGAATTTCAAAAACTACGTGAAATTGCAAAAATCATTAGTAAATTACGGAAATTACGAAAAAATTACGAGAATTGCAAAAATTACGGAAAATTTAAAAAGTTACGGAAATCACCATTATTAAAAAATAAAAAGCAGAATTATAAAATTTCAGTATTACAAAAGCAATGTAAATTATTGGCAATTTCAAATATTATGTAGAACTACAAAAGTCATTGATAAATTACGTAAATTACAGGAATTATAAAAATGAAAAATAACGAATATTACAAAAAATCACGGAAATTGCAAAAAATACGGGAATTACAATTATTGAAAAATTAGGAGAATTATAAAATTACGAAAAAAAATTATGTAAAATTACGAAAATTATTGGAAAATTACGTAACATGGAAAAATATTAACAAAAATCACAAAAATTTCAAAAAATCATGGAAATTACATTAATTATTAAAAAAATTGAGAGAAGAATTATAAAATTAGCAAAAAAAATTGAGTATTACGGAAAACAATGAAAATTATTGAAAAAAATTACGCGAATTTCAAAAATTACGTAGAATTGCAAAAAATTATTGGAAATTACGTTTTACGAAGAAATAATAAAAATAACGGAAATTTCAAAAACTTACGGGAATTATCATTATTGAAAAATAAAATAAAGAAATTACGGAAATTAAAAAAATAACAGAAATCACGAAAATCATAAAAAATTACGGAAATTAGAAAATCATAAAAAAAATTAAGACAATTAGAATAATTATAGGAATTGCAAAAATTACGGAAATTACGAAAAATTGAAAAAAAAAAAAAAAAAAAACGGAAATAACACAAAAATTAAGGAATTTGTTATTTAACGAAAATTACGAGAATTGCAAAAACTGCAGAAATTACGAAAAATTTCGGGACTACCGAAGATAATTAAATTTTTAAAAAATTATGGAAATTAAAAAAGTTACAAAAGTTACGGAAATTCTGGAAATAAAGGCCTCTTTTGTGAAAAGTGCCTCAATTGGAAGCATAGGACTTGTCTGTCAATGGCAGCCAAGACCTATCAAAAAATAAGCAAGTCCAAGGACAACTGGTATTGTACCTACTACTTGCTTGAAGAAGCCACTACCTAGCAAGCAAGCGAACTACACTAACGATGACATTATGGCATTGCTACAGGAGATGGACAAGAAGTACAATGTGCTTATTGAGAAATACGAGGGCCAAGTCAGGATCAATGAAGAATTAAGAAGCGAGCTGAAGGAGATAAAGGTGGAATTAAACAAAAGAGATCAGAAAGAAATTAATCAAAATATGTTAATTTTTGGCATTCCGCCCAAAGAGGACGAAGACTTAACCAATATCGTGAAGAAAGTTGGACAAGAACTTCAGGTTGATTTGAACGCTGAGCGATTTACTGCGGTTAGGATGGGGAAAATGGGAGGTGATGCAAACAAAAACCCTGTCAGGATCAGGTTTGAGAGTATTGAGGTAAAAAACAAACTCCTTATTAGGTCACCGCGTAAATTTAGGTTAGGTGCAAATAATTTAGGTTTCGCTGAAAATAATAAAGTATTCTTAAATCATGATTTGACAAAAAGAAATTTAGAACTATATAAACAAGCACGCGCGTTCAAGGTTGAGCATAATTACAAATATAGATTTGGGAGATTCATTTTGCAACATCTTGATTAATTTAATAAACAATGTTTTTAGCATGTACGCGGGCGTCTTTCCTAAAGAATTAAAAATAAGCAGAATCAACGCGATATTCAAGTCTGGAAACAGGGAGGATATGGGTAATTATCGACCTATAAGTTTAGTTAGCACTTTATCTAAAATAATTGAGAAATTGATTAAAAAAAGGATGCTTGGTTTTATGGAGAAATACGTCCCAAACCAGTATGGTTTTGTAAGAAATAGTAACACACTTAGTGCGACCATGGACATTGTAAATAAAATATCAACGGATCTGGATAATAAAAGGGTAGTAGTTGCGGTTTTTGTTGATCTCAAGAAGGCCTTTGATGTTGTTTGTATAGACGTCTTGTTAAGGAAATTAGATAATATGGGATTTAGGGGACTTGTACATACGTTGATTAGAACTTATTTAACGGATAGGGTGCAATATGTAAAAATGGAAAACAGTATTAGTGGCTACAAAACTAATGCATGTGGGGTGCCTCAGGGGTCTGTCCTAGGACCTCTGCTGTATTCACTTTAAGTACTCAGTCTAAATTTGGCAGGTCTAGCAGCACGTTACTATACGTTTGCAGATGACACGATACTATTGTATAGTGGTGCAAATGTAGAAGAACTTGAGCGTTGTATAAATTTTGACTTGGAGCAATATGCCAACTGGTTGCTATTCAATAAACTAAAAGTAAATATAAGTAAAACGAAATTCATGATATTTAGGCAAAAAAATAAGTTAATTAGAATTCCCACGATTAAAATAAAAAATTAAGTTATTGAAAGGGTGACTGTAATGAAATACTTGGGCTTATTCTTAAGTGAAAATCTTAATAGCAATGAACACATCGCTCAAATAACCAAACAAAATATCTCCTACAGTGGGTGCAATGTTTAGGTGTCGCGGTTATTTGACATACGGAACTAAGATGAATATATACAACGCTTACTTTTTGTCACATTTGAGATATTTGATTCCTGTATGGGGCATGTGTGGTGTGGTCGAATTTCAGAAAGATCAAGTACTCCAGAACAAGGTTTTAAAAATTTTATTCGAATACGACCGTCTAACACACACGGATGATTTGTACAGAGCGCTACCTGTTATGATATTGAGTAAAATGCTGATGTTGGAGCAATGCAAATTTATATTTTAAGTTATTCATAAAAAACAAAAATCCAACACCGATGTGGTGTTTACGGAAAACATTCACTTTCATCATACAAGATACAACACCAGCATATTTCTAGACAATGTTAGAACAAATAAGGGCTTGCACAATCCGTTTTCTCAGGCCTCCAAAGCCTACAATCAGTTACCAGTTCACATTAGAGAGTTAACCAATATCGTAAAATTTAATGCAGTCCTAAAAGGGTATCTTTCTGGTAATGATGTTTGAGGATAATTATTGTTATTTTTTTTTTTAGTTCCTACTTGTGATTTTTTTTTTTGTTTTTTCTCTTGTTATGTATTTTTGTAGACTATATAAGATACTATTGGTAAATTTATACATATTTAAGTTGTCACTGTTGTCTTAGTTGTTAAGTATGATTAACCTCGTTACCAGTGTTGCATACACTGCTTAGAGGATTGTCTTAAAAAGAAATTGTTATACCTTTTGTTGCAATTATTTAATAAAGATGGTTTAAAAAAAAAAATCACAGAAGTTTATTAACAAATTGCAAAAATCGAAATACCTATGATGATTTTCAAAATGTTAGAAAATAACAAAAATTACAAGAATCAGGAATTACAATTACAAAAATTATAAAGACCGGGAAATTATAAAATTTCAAAAAACTTCCAAGAAATTTAAAAAATTACGACAATTGAAAATTACGAAAACTATCAAAGTTACGAGAATTATAAAAAATTACAGGGATTACGAAAAAGTTACGGGAATTACGAGAATTAGAAATCACAAAGGCTTTCGGGAAATGATTTTGAAAAATGCCCAGAAAAAATACGGAAATTACCTACTAATTTTTGAAATATACAAAAACGTGGAATTATAAAAATAACGGAATTTTCTGAGAAACTACGGGAATTAAAAAATTACCAAAATTTGAAGAACAACAGGAATTGATAAAAAAATTATAAGAATTATTTGAGAAATGACAGGAATTAAAAAATTTCTAAAGAAAAATTACGGAAATTACGAGTCTTCGAAAATTATAAAATTTGCTATAATGAGCTCTCTATTGTCTTCTTTTTCTGGAAAATTTTCACAATTTTCTTGCCAGTTTCCCGATTGTAAAAGGGTGAATTTTGCCTAAAAAAGTCAATTTCCCAGAATTTTTCCTGGAGTGATTTTTGACTGGAAAATTTTGAAATGTTTCTATAATGTGCTCCTCACTTTTCTTTTACTTCTGGAAACATTTCATAATTTTCCCTTTGCTAGATTTCTAGAAAAAAATTAAAAAGTAAGAGGATGAATTCTCCTTAATTTTGCTGAAAAGTAAGTTTTTCAAAATTTTTCCTGGATTAATTTTTTACTGAAAAATTTTAAAATTTTCGTAAAATGAGCTTCTCATTTTCCTCTTATTCCTGGAAAATTTTCAAAATTTTCTCTTTGCAAGTTTTGCAGAAAAAAATGAAAATGTAAGAGGTGAATTTTCCCTAATTTTACTTGAAAAAGTCAATTTTTCAGATTTTTTCCTAAAGTGATTTTTTACTGGAACATTTTGAAATTTTCGTAAAATGAGCTCCTCATTTTCCTCTTATTCGTGGAAATTTTTTAAAAATGTTCTCTTTGCAAATTTTCTAGAAAAAAATTAAAATGTAAGAGGGTGAATTTTTTTTAATTGCTTAAATAAATCAATTTTTTAGGACATATTTGAAATTTCAGTCGTAAAAAAAAAAGAATCACCCTTTGTCGTTTGTACATGATATTTAAGAACACCCTGTATAATACGCAGTTAATTAATTTATATATTTGGTACTCCAATGATTTTTTAAGAGCCGGTATTTCAATGTCACCTTAAGATATAGAATAAACATAGACATTGGCAACATTGTCTGACCTTATTGTTCGATGACGTCATTCTAAATGTTAATATAAGATAAAAACCGTATATTTTAAGGTAAGTCTTGATTTTAACAATAATAATTGCGAACGTGCTCTATGAATTAATCAACGAGAAATACTTTTTTCTAAATTATGACGTCATCGATGACGTAAATAAGTACAAAAAGTGCAAAAAAATACATAAAATAATTTCGTTGCACTAATTTTTTATATAACTGTTAGGTAGTGCTATGGTGGGATGCCGAATAGGGTGCTTAGCACCCCCAAGCATTCCCCTAGTTGCGCCTATGGCGATAAATTTACCTGCACCTGTGGACATCGGATTGTGAAAAAGATATAATTATTCATACCACTTTTGAAAATGGTGAATTTACAATTCAACGTTTAAATAAAAATACCTAATAAAAAATTTTAGGAGTGTTTTTTGAAAGACTTTTAAGTCGAAATTTGGGTTAGTTTGGGTTACTCAAAAAAAAATTTAGCCTCCGGCGGGGGGCTTGTGATGGGCCCGCAGAAATTTTAGCACACAGGCCCGGACCTGGGTTGATACGCCACTGGTCATCAGTCATTAGTTCCTTTCTTGTTCCAATTTTTCACTGAGGAAATTGAATTCTTAAATTGTCTTACTGGAATTTTCTCTATTGCAGACAAAATATCTTTAATAACTGCCATAAATTATCTATCTTTATCTGAATAACGTATTTTTATGGTTGCTAAAAATTTTTTGTTGAATTATCCTCATTATCACCTATAGTTATCTATGAGCTCCTATAAAATACTTTACTCTTGTTAAAAATTTAATTTACTGATGTATTATATTCAAATTTCTTCATACGAATTTACTACAGTAGCTAGATACTTTAATATGGTTACTACACACGATCTTTAAAATTGATCTTCATAACTATCGATATACGTTTTTTAACAACTATAAGTTGATTTTCAGTCTTTAAAATGTGCGTTATAGCCATAATAAACTTAAGCGGGCCGTTATTGGCTTCGGCTATTCGCGAAACAACCCGAAGCGGCCATAATGGTTTATTTTGTAATTTTTCTGTGCATTCCAATTATTGCTTCCGTGCAAGCATGTAGCATGAGCCCGCTCATTTGTGATCAGGTGTTTGTGTCGTGTCGCGCCATTTTTTGCTGTAAGCGTTAATTAGTTAGTGCGTTAGTTACGTTGGTGAATTATTTAAATCATTTTGAATTATTTATCATGTATAACCTTGGATTTTGGATTTACACTGGCACTGGTCTGACAATGGCGTGTAAAGTTGCCCTTCTAGAGTGGGGCTTACAGTTATTTATCGAAGGTGAGCTATGAGGAGGTATAAATATAACCCCCTCAATGCTTTCATTAATTTTCAGATTTGGGATAATTATTGCACAAAGCAACTGAAGCTAGGATTTTCTGCATTCTTTTTTTTTTTTGAAAAACAAGTGTCCTTTTTGAGAAAATATAAATTAAAAATGAAAACTCTCTTATTACCTGCTTTTGCTTTTTCCAAGTGGTATTTTTTATATTATATACTTAAGTAGTTATGTAGGTATACATATACGATTCGAAATTTTGTTAGTTTATGTGATTACTGTAGATGCAGCTTTTATTTTTTTAATGTCACCATAATAATATGTAGGAATCAACAATTAATAAAAGTTTGATTAAAAAAATTCCCATTGTCTTTTATTTTTACCTCTTCCCAAATGCAATATAATAGTAACATAACATTTTTAATAACCCTTAGGCCCAGTTGTACAATCTTGGTTCAA